GCTAAATGATTTGCTTTCATTCTCATCTATCATCTATCACTGGTGCCCCGCCAGTGTATACCGATAGCGCGGGTGGGGTAACCATTCCATTATCACCCATTAATAAAAAACAGCTGTAATGGTATGGTAATACTAGCCTTTACTCGCGACTTCGTTCACGTGACCGAGATATGTTTGTTGACTGGGATAAAGTCACCTTATAGTTTCTTTTTCCATCCCATATAGAATGTGTATAGCAAATTTCATAGTGACTGGTTAAACCGTTAACGCGCCGTAATATAACAAACAAACTCATTTTCACATTTATAATATTAGTAAGGAAGGTAAGGATTAACTAATTTGATTGAAAAATAAATAAGCTGAGATAAAAAAAAACGAAATGAGAACATCCTTCGCCTTAAAATTAATTGATAAGTGTATTTTTTTTAATTTAGACTTAATTATAACTTTCCTTACTAATATTATAAATTATATATAAATCGGACAACTGATAGAGAAGAAAGGTTCTTGAGTGTCGACCACATAAGGGTAAACGCAGTGTAGGACGACCCCCCCACTAGATGGAGTGACGACCTGAAATGCATTGCAGAGCGTCAGTGGATGCAGGTGGCTCAGGACCGTTCTTTATGGTAGTACATGGGGGAGGCTTATGTCCAGCAGTGGACAGATAATGGCTGAAATGATGATGATGAATCTTAATTCAATTATCTTTTTAAATCTCAATTATATTTTTAGGTACGAGGTATAGATTGTAAAATATATTTCATACCACTAGCTGATTAAGGTACCCAGATCCAGAAAAAAAATTTATGGCAGAACATCGTTTACCGAGCCAGATAATAATATATTATAATATATATATATATATATATATATATATATATATATATATATATATATATATATATATATATAATTCCGTAACTAAACAATTTCTAATATATATATATAATTAATAATATTTTAATATTATTATTAATATACTATTTACTAGTTTAAAAATATATTATAAATTTGACCCAAAGCTAATGGATATCGGGCTATTTTTATTATTCTTGCCTTGTTTGTTTTATAGCTTTTTTATTATTCTGCGAAGTATTCGAACAACGGTATTTAGTACTTAGACAAACATCCAATTAGTATTGTTGATTGAAAACATTCATTATAAATAAGACTAAAATAAATATTTTAAGAATAAAAAATAAATAAAAAAATGAAATTAAAATTGCTAGTGAATGCTAATGCGAATACGTTGCCAACCCTATACCGTTCTGCACGTGGATATCTGGTAGCTACGTGCTGCAAAATCATTTATTTGAAAATCAAAAGCAACTTTATCCGCGAGCTCGTGTAAAGGGAAAGTTCTGGACGCACCAGCTTTTAAGAGCGTTCATACCGAAAATGTAACTTTTGCTTACCGAAGTGTAGCAACGTCGGGATTATCTATTAATTTAAAAAAAAATACAATTTATAATACAATATTATATAAATTTATATATTTAAAATACTCCAATAATGAACTGTAATGATAAGCATCAGGTGGGCCGTCAGCTTGTTTGCCATTCTAAGTTGTATAAAAAAATAAATATAAAATAAAAATTGCACGTAACTTGGACACATCCATTTGTGACCTTGTCGAATTTAGCAGAATGACGGTAAACTATTTAGAAAATATCTAATAATTGAAGATATAATTGGATAAAAGTGTTATGTTACATTTTCGGAGTTTCGCTTTCGCTATTCCACGCATGAATACAAGTGTGAGATGCAAACTAACATAACTTATGCTAGATTATTATACCTTATAGTTATTATTTGATGTTGAATGATAAAATGAGAAAGGTTTAAAATTGCTTTTTTTTTTTAATTGACAGATAATTGCAATGTTGCTACACCTCGGTAGACAAAAGTTATGAACGCTGTTAAATGAGAAATAGTAATAGACCAGTATTTCTTGAACTCTGCCTTGTAAACTTCCTCTGTTGAATTCAAATCGTTATCAATATATATAAAACATGTTTACTTCGAATCGCATGACCCAATTAGGTCAGTTGTGAATTGATATACATAATATATTGTCCAGATGGTAATTGAGACAGTAATTGAATATAAAGATCTTTGACCAAAGTTTGTGCATCCGGTCCCTTAGTTACATAACTGGCAATTTGCCATAACCGAAAGATGTGTAATATTTATTATCTTCATTTTTAGCATGTTTTGTGTTCACAAACAGTGGTGCTGCCTCTATTGAGCAATTTAGGAACTAAATTTATTATTATAAATTCACAGATTAAGAACAGTGCGTACGATCTTTATGAATTACATTTGTCCTTTGCCACGTAGTCAAAAATGGCGCTTTTTATTATAAAGAAAAAACATTTCACCAATATAATGATTAGCATACTAAGTTTTTGCATTTAGCAAACATACACGATATACCTCACCAAAAAAAACTACTTCAATTGTGGTAAAACCAGTTGTTATAATTACCATTTATTTTGATTAAAAAACTAAACTAATGAATCGATTATAATAACATTTCTATAGGATTAATCTGTGAAAACATCTGTTCAGATAAAATTTTTTCAAATTTTCCAAATCACTTTACAACCTATGGCATTATAAAGTAACGAACATAAAAAAAACACAACCAAATTGAGAATTGTTAGTCTTTCACGCAAAAGTTTTCGTAGTATATCTTATTATATATTAATTCACGTGGACGAAGCCACGGGATACAGGTATTTCTATTCTAATTTAAAAAGGATTATTGAAACCAGGTCATAATAATTCCATGAATAGGCAATTTAATCAGAATAAGCCCAATTACAAGCACGGTAGACAAATTGCAAATAGAAAAGCGACTATCTGCCGTCCAACATAGAGTTTTAATTGTATCGACTTGTTTTCTTATTAGTACATTTTATTATCTGGAATATATAGTTTGCTTTTTTATTTTACTTTTTTCTTTGTTTTACTAAAATTTAGATACTAATTGCTTGAATGCCGACTTCAGAAAAAAAAATTTTTTTTCTCCTTTTTTCAAACATTGTGTTACGCAATTTCATTCCTTGCTGTTTGTAACCGATTTTAACTTTACATTTTTTTATCGAAAGCTTAGTTGTATGATGTATCAATATATCAATTATTTTACAATATAGATTGAAAAGTTATGTTTTTCGGAGAACCGACAACCGATGGGGAAAAGTTTCTTTAGTGGCGACACCATACAGACAAACGCAGTGTAGGACGACCCCCCACTACCTGGAGTGGCGACGTCAAATGTATTGCAGGGAGTCCGTGAATGCAAGTGGCTCAGGATCGTTCCTTATTACTAAATGATAAACTTACTACTATTATAAAGAATGCTATAGAGGAGGCTTATATTCAGCAGTAAGTAAATAACAGCTCATATGACGGTGATGATGATGATGATGAAGCAACAAAATGTGCTTGTATTGTGTTTCTGCAGTGAAGCAGTAGTTCTTGCATGTCGGGGTCGTCCTACGCTACGTTTTCCGATACTGGGTCGCCACTCAAAAACCGTTCTTCCCCATCAATTTTTTTTTATACTACTTAGTACCATGGACATAACAGAGTATACTGTTTCGCCCATGATACCCCCCATGCGTTGCCATTCCTGAGGACTCAGGTGTTATTCCTCTGTACCCTGTAAATTCACGCCATATCCCACACTTCAAACCGAAACACAGTCATGCAAACACAACTGCTTCACGGTAGAAACACGAATGGGACAGAGGTACTCAAGCAATCGACTTTTGTACAAAGTCTCCCTCTAGTAAATACGGCATAAGGCTATTTTAGATTCAACCTTCCAAGAAATCGTTTATTCCACCCGTCTTCTGCGATTTTGGGATAAGACCATTATACGATAAAATTGACATAAATGAAGTTACTAGCAACGGAATGCAGAATTATTTTTTCTTATTTTTTAACATCGCGCCTATTTCTTTATAACGAAACAAACTCAAAGTGACAACCCCACTTAAATATTAGGGCTGTCTCAGATCTAACTGACGTTTAAATTTTTTACCCAACTGTCGAAAACAAAATTAATGATTTTAAGCAACTTCTAAAAGGCGAAAGTTCTGAATTGATCTGAATTTTTAATTCACAATACTTTTTTCAATCGATGGGGTTTATTTCTGTTTTGATCTCAATTGATCTCAATAGCTTGATACTTTTTATAAGTAGCCATTTCGTTTTACTTAAAGGATTTCTTATTTGCGTTCGTATTAAAGTGTATTGGAGTTCTCAAAGAACAAAACAACCGTTTTCAAGTGATTATTTAAACAATTCTCTGATAGCAAATTAAAATTTCTAACATGCAAAAACATTTTTATTAAGCTAACACTGAAAATTTAAATTTAAAAAGCAAATATTCATTTGAAGACTTCAAAAGCAAAATATGAAGTAGTGCAAAATGTTTCTTGGATAATATTTATATAAAACTTTCTATGATTAATATTTATTTTGCTGTGAGAGCAGTTTTTGAAGAGGGACAAATTTTTCGCGGCTGTACTCGTTTCGTGTACGTGCATGAACGTCATTAGCATTCCCATAGAATTGCATACATTTTGCTCACCCATTATCTATAACATAATGGGAAAATGTACAATATAATTCTATGCTATACAATACGAAAGCGTTCCCTAATGTTATAACTATATGATGTAAGCTTGACCTAGTTTAGATACAAAATTTAATACCTACTACATCTCGCTGACATGTACTATTTCCTCGAACAGTTACTAAAACATACTATATAAGTATTTATGTATATACAAGCAATGTTATACAAATATCAAGTACCGACGTACTGGCAGGTTATAATTTTTGAAACAAATAAAACACCAAAGTCCACAATAAAACTACTATTTACTATTTAGATGTGGAGCGATTATCACGAATTCAATGCGCAGGCCAGTCAGTGTGAAATGAGCCTTAGCTTTCGGTTTATTCTTCAGTAGCGAGATTGACTCTGTAGGGGATGCTCGCATCCCCTAAACAAAATATACGGAGTGAAAATATATCGCGCGAAGAAAAATATACATGTTCTATTTTCAAAATTTAATAATTGAACTATATTTATATTATACATTATTTTATATTTATGAAGAAATATAGTTTTGGTAATTATTAAAGATATTATTATGGGTGAGTTCTAATTGCATTAGTATATTGTTCATACAGAGATGAACGAATTATGATGGATAATTGATGATGAATGAAAAGTGACCGATACGCAATTTGCTCGATCCAAAGGTAAATATTTCAAATTATTTCTTGTTATTTCTATTCGGAAATTGTAGCTTACTTACAAAGTATATAACTGATGAATTTTTTATATAAAAATATAATATTATAGACAAATATATAATATTAAAGACAAAGTTGATATCTTTTCAAAACAAGAATAAGCCCTGGCAACTTTTTTTTCTATATACTACTGAGAATGGTAAACAAGCTGACGGCCCACCTGATGGAAAGTGGTAACCGTCACCTATAGACATGAGCAGTACCATGAACATAACAGAGTTTACTGTCTCGCCCATAATACCCCCCAAGCGTTGCCATTCCTGAGGACTCAGGTGTTATACCTCTGTACCCTGTAAATTCACGCCATATCCCACCCTTCAAACCGAAACACAGCTATGCAAACACAACTGCTTTACGGTTGAAACACGAATGGGACAGAGGTACTCAAGCAATCGACTTTTGTACAAAGTCTCCCTCTGGTAGAAAACTGCAAAATATATTATCAAATCAGTTCAAAATTAGAACAGATATGAATAATAGAGATGAAATTAAAAACTCCTATTTTAAACTCATTTATTTCAAATATTAAGGTACAATTTACAATTTTTATAATTTATATTCAACGAAAAAATAAAAAAATAAAAAATTGTTATTGTATTATAATAACGCCTCCCACTGTAAAATCTTAAAAGCATATTAATAATACAAGATTGCCTCCCGTAATTTTAAACTTGCCTAAGTAAAGACAAGTATAAGACTAAATATTTGGCAGCGAGAATCAGTCAAAATAACAGTGTTGAATGAATGGAAACTCTTTAATATTCTTTTCAAAGAAGGATTAATTAAATATGTACATAAGGAAAAAATCAACATTATAAGAAGCAGATAAAGCAGCGACAAAAGGCGACCCTGTTATATAGCTCGTTTCAATAGAATTTAATGAAAATCTAAACAAACAAATAAATGACTCGACTATAATACCGTCTGCTGATATCCAATAACAGTAATAATATAAAATCGAATATTTAATAGAATTACTCGATTTGTAACTAAGTGTAGTATGTCCTAGTAATCCTCTCTCTAGGGTGGTTTTGCTAGTAGTTGCCACGGTTGTGAACCGCAGTTAGGCTTTAGAGATGTTTTAAGAGGGACGCTGCTGACTATCCCTCGCCCTCCTCAGTCGCCTCTTACGACACCCACGGGAAAGAAACGGGTGGCCTATTCTATGCACACAGAGTATGTACTCGTAATATAGCGTAATATCTAATGTAAACACCCATTAGCTCTTACTATGTTCGTATATAAAAATATATTATAATTAATAATTATAATACACTTTCTGCTCTTATCTTTTTTTATCGTGATCCATCACCAGCAGCATTGGGTTTGCTGGAAGAAATCTCTATTGGAGATAAGCTCGCCTTTGTGCACTATTATGTTTGTTATTACATTTTAATAACCGTTTGTATACAATAAAGAATAAAGAATGTCTTTCTTCTTCGTTCACAAATCATTCTTTCATTTCTGGACTCGCTCTTCTTTTATGCTTGCTTTTATATCATCTTTCACACAGTCCATCCACCTTTTCTCCGGTAGCTCCCTTCCTTTATATGCATCCACTTTCATATTTCATTTCTTATCATCCGGAATGAAAATTGTATGGAACGTCTAATTGTCCAAGAGTCGGTACAAGCAAACGTTCTCGGAGTAGATCGCCAATACGATGCTTTGACCTCAGCAAAATAGCCACACTGTAGTCTATTGTGGAATGCTCTCGCTCGGCTGTCAGCAGAAGCAGACGGAGACGCATTGTGAGCAACTCAATCGCGAAGGAGGGCCTCCAACCACCAATAAAAACCACGATCACTCTGTCAAGAGTGTACGACAGACGAGAGGGACTTTCATATGATGCACCTTTCTTAAAACATGACTTTCATTGATATGCATGACATGATCATACGAATTACCTAATATCATAACAATGATGAGAGGATTCTAAATAATGGGATCTAACAGCCCCATTCTAGCCTATTGCTAGAATGAAGAGAGAGAGAGGAGAGAACCCTCCACACGTTTCTCCCCAGAGATCCAACCAAGTTAATTCTTGTTAAATTCGTCACGATGGACTAACTGACCTGCTTTCATTCTCACCTGTCATCTCTCACTGATTCCCCACCAGCGTATACTGATAGCGCAAGCGGGCTGACCATTCCATTCTCCCTCATCCAAATACCATAATAATGATGACGATATGAATTAACTAAATACCCATGCATTTAATTAGTTCATTTAGTCATCATTTCAGCCATTATCTGTCCACTGCTGGACATATATTTCCCTCACATAGGGAACGGTCCTAAGCCATCTGCATCCACTGACTCCCTGCAATGCATTTAAGGTCATCACTCCATCTAGTGAGGGGTCGTCCTACACTGCGTATACCTTGTACGGGATCGCCACTCAAGAACTTTTCTTCCCTGTTCGTTGTCGCTTCTTCAAGCTATGTAACTTAGTCAATTTATATGACTATCACTAAATAAATTGCCTTATTTGTTTACATTTAAAAGTATAATTGAATTCATGTAAAATTTTGTGATAATCATGAATAATATTTCCTTACATTGTCCCTGTTTGCGTAATTCTGTAACAGAATATTGTAAATTGTGATCAGACTACATACATATAGAAATACACAGATAAATAATTTAGGGTATAACTAGATTTATTATAAAGTAGTGCTTCCCGAAGCTTCGTCCACAGTATATGTTTTAAGTTAGGATATAGCCTACACTACTAAATTTCCATTTAAATTGATTGGAAATTTAGTACAAGAGCGAATGAGTAACAAAGGTACAAATATATATATATATATATATATATATATATATATATATATATATATATATATATAATTTTTAAATATTATTTCTATCCCGGTTAGTTAACATATCGGTCATACCAACGAAATCACGGGTAAATGTATAAAGATCTGATATCTATAAATATATCCCAATAACCTAACAAATATTCTCTGGAACCTTCCGACACTGTCCTGGTTGTTTCAAGTTACTAACTCGATTCAATAAAAAGTTATTGCCCTACAAACAGCATTGAACATGTATTTCCATGCTAATCTAAAAATATAGCATGGGGGAAAGGGATTGTTAGTAATGGATAATAACAGCCCCATTGGTAGCAATACACCCTATCAGGTCGACCTCCACGTGGTTCCCCTGGAAACCATTGTAGTTAATTCTTGTCGAATTCTGCACGCTGGGCCGACTGACCTGCCTTCATCCTCATCTATTATCTATCGCTGGTGCCTCGCAAGCGTATACCAATAGCGCAGGCGGGGTTACCATTCCATTTTCACCCATTAAAAAAAAACATATAAAAACTTATGATTTCTTCTCAACCGACTTCAAAAGATAAAAGGTTCTCAATTCGATTGTATTTTTTATGTTTGTTACCTCATATCTCCATTAGTTTTACACCGCTTTGAAAAATTCTTGTTTTATCTGAAACCATATACGTATAGTTTAATGTCATTGAATTTTTTTTGAAATGGATTCAGTGGTTTAGTTTTTAAATAAGAAAACTGAATTTGTCATATTTGAAGTTGGTTTTATGGGGCATAATCTTTAGTTATCTTTATATTTATAGCACATCTACAGTAAAGAACATTTTCTTCCATGAATGTTCAGCTTCTGACATGACTCTTTGCCAAAGGTTGTCTCAAGAAACAGCAGCACGATACTTTTAAATAAAACTCATCAATGAATGAATGTATGAATTTAACTCACTCGCTTAGGATTCTGTACATAAATATAAGATAAAATGACCCTTATTGTATATTTTGTACAAAACAAACACCGAATAGTTATTATTATCGAATTTTAATTCGTAATTTCACACCACAATTTTGGTTAAAATCTCGACCGAATAACTAAGTTTTTTTTATACAACTTAGAATGGCAAACAAGCTGACGGCCCACCTGATGGAAAATGGTAACCGTCGCCTATAGATATGAGCAGTACCATGGACATAACAGAGTATACTGTTTCGCCCATGATATCCCCCATGCGTTGCTATTCCTGAGGACTCAGGTGCTATTCCTTTATACCCAGTAAATTCACGCTATATCCCACCTTTCAAACCGAAACACAGCCATGCAAACACAACTGCTTCACGGTTGAAACACGAATGGGACAGAGGCCTAAGCTGGTAGATCGTGGAGTACCTCAGGGTTCGATACTCGGGCCACTTCTTTTTATTATTTATTGTGCTGACATTGAAAATGCAATAAACTATTGTAATTTTCATTGTTACGCTGATGATATACAAATTTATATCTCTGGAGCCCCCGCTGCGATTACTGACGCTGCTCATAAACTTAATAAGGACTTGGAGAAAATTGCTGCCTGGTCACAAGAAAATGCATTGGTTATTAATCCCAACAAAACAAAATATAATCGACTTTTGTACAAAGTCTCACTCTGGTGTTTTTGAAGACTTTTTTAATGATTTTATTGTTAAAAAAATCCAAATTACTCATTATATTTTAATTATATTTTACCTATTTAAACAATGCTTCAATTTTGAATATGGAATCCGAAGATTAACTTTACTGTTTATCTCTTTAGCTAAATTTCTCTTCACGTATGTATGGATACAATTCATTTGTTCGAAATTATCATTTCAAGCACACAGAACTGTGGCATTTACTGGCAGCTTCCGCTACTATTGGAACAACATCCCGCCACCATTTAGGGACTACAAATTCGGGACCAGAAATTTTTAGTCATGTAATGATTTTTAATATTTTTTTTTCCATGTTTCTCTTATTAATATTTTCTTTTTTTTTCGTCAGTTAAAATTATATCAAATTATACTCTTG